CTATCTATTACCCTACCTACAAATCCAAAAAGAATAATGTTCGACAAAATTCAGCATAAGCAAATTCCTGAGGTATATCTACTTACCATCCCTAATAGTAATTCGTGTGCAAATTCAATTCGCTGCACCAGCATTTCCCGTGCGATAAACTCCCCTGCTGCATTATTTACTCGGCATATTGACATTACAGTAATTTGCTTCCGAATTTACATTTAATTCCGTGGTATCAAGTTTTGATGTGTATACGTATCTGGGCTCTGGCTTCTCGACCAGAGAGGTTTAGACTTTAGAGTTCGAATATAGAAAGGAACTTTTTCGATGGATGAAGCGATAGGACATAAAATCATCGCTTCCTCCGTTTAAGCCATCAATTAGCCGCTAAACCGCTACGGCACAATACTATAGCACAATATTCACACAAGTACGATTTTATTTTCATCGAAATTTCAATTTTGGGGCTATTATATGTAGGCTAACTGTAATCAAACATTTACAAATTCTTTTTAACTTTCCAAATACGTGGCGATTTTAACTGGAAACTTTATTAGTTTGTATTAATTTTAGAATTTACATTACAAGGGCCGTACTGGCAGATTGAATAATGTTCAATATATTGAAGAAAGTAATGATAATGGCAACATGTCTCAATCTTACTGATTCTTCTAGAACTGTGGCGTAAAGATATTGATCGAACGCGTCCCCGAACTATGTCATGATGGATGCCTGTCATATGCCTGTTTAACATCCTGGTACCTGTCATAGGAACGTAACGTAGGCGGGGTACTGGGAGGCAAGGTAACGTCAATAGAAAAACAGTAGTAGCACACAGGCACAGAACATATCACCTCTAGAAAAGTATCTGCAATGGTATGTACTGGTTATGAATTACAGCGCCATCGTTGAATGAAAACCCAACTAATCGAGCATTCTTGACAAAAAGGCGAATCTATTTTTTCCCTATATTTTTATTATTTTTAAATAATTTTTAATGCTTAACTGCATTTGGCTTGCTGACTCCTTTTAGCTCTTTTCGCCTCATTTTCTTGAAAACTATGACTGGCAGGAAGTTTCCAATGTCGAACATAGTGCAAAGAGAGTTAGTAAGTTAGCAAGCGACACGCAGCTATAGGTAGATCGCAAAGTAAATACAAATAATAAATACAAATACGAACGAAACGAAACAAACGAACAAATACAAAAAAATACGAACAAAAATTAGGGTTTTTTTCAACCAAAACTTTTTGATTTTTCACTTTAACGCGCGTGGGGACCATGGTTTACAACAACACAATTTAAAAATTCAAATTTTGACTTTTGAAATGACAAAATAAATGACAAAATCAACCAACACAACTCACTGTCCACACCACAGATACCTGTAAATTTCTCTTATCTCCCGATAGTGTCGCCATCGTTGATTGAAAACCTAACTAAAAACCTTCGTCGCGATTCTCCCAATTGAGATATTTTTCTATAGGTGATATGTTCTGTGCACACAGGGTTCGCTTGGAACTCGGGTCAAAGCTCCAGCACAGCACAAGGCACAAGGTCAGAACTATTGAACATTATCACTACATGGTGGCAGCGGTGAACTAAGTATGAAAAGTAAAAGAAGCTCTGGTCGAAGATCATCCCTGTTGAACTATTTCAGAAGGAACTGCTAAATAAGTGCGTTCAAGGAAGTTTAGCAAAATGTATAATGACAAAGAGGACCAAAATGAAGGATCAGAACCTTCCGAACATTCTGCATCAGGTATTTCTATAGACTCTGCGCAATTTCTTGAAGAGCAAAAACTAATTACTCAAATTTTAAAAACTCAGTTAAATTTGCAGCAGCAAAATGCGTCTGCTCGTGTTTTGGCACCACCAGTTGTTGCACTCACACAGTCATCTGTAGCCATTCCGCAACCGTCTCATTTTTCTTTTAAATCTGAAGATTGGGAGGACTGGAAAGTGTCATTTTTGCGTTACAAACGAACTGCGTTAACCAATTTCAGCTCTGAGCAGGTAGTAGATTATTTTATAGGCTTTTCTAGGAATGAAAGGTGAAAAAATCTTGAAATATTTTCACATGCAAGCTGTTGATGAAAGAGACATTGACAAAGCTCTTGAGATGTTCGATGAGTATTTCGCGGCCAGCAGGAATCTCGTATACGAGAGAGTAAAGTTTTTGCAGCGAGTGCAAAAATCAGATGAACCATCTGACAACTTTATAAATAATTTGACAATTTTGGCACAGACGTGTGAATAGGGTTCTATGGAAAAAGAGATGATAAAATTAATGCTAATTGCAGGTTTGTCTGATGCTAGATTGTCGGCGCAGTTACAGGCAAGAGCGAATGACCAATTGGATGAAGTAATTAGGCGGGTACGCTTAGCAGAATCTTTGCGTGCTCAACAGTCCATTGTGTTACGATAAATTTATCATTTACGTAACATGTTCCATCTCTTTTTATTTTCATTATAAAGTTGTATTTTTTTCATTTCAGAATTCAAAATAATTTCCAATATTCTAAAAATATCAATTAAATTCAAATTTAAATTCAAGTAATACAAGTGCTGCCATCTATCTACATTTGCGTAAAGTGCAAGTATCAAGAATTTACTTTTTAGTGCTGCCATCTAGTGCGCGATGATAGATCTGATCTATATTTCAAAGCTTGATTTCTTATTTCGCATTTTGGCAATAATTTGTATTTTTTTGAAAGAAATTATATTCATCTCACTTTTAGCAAATTGATATATTTCTGTCCTTTTTTACCTTCTGATTTTTATATATTCATTTTTGGCTTAATGATCCAATTAATTAACAGTCTTTTATCTTTGACATAACCTTAATTTAAATTATTATAATTTGTAAACAATTAAAATAGTTTTAGTGGATTTTTATCTATTTTCGTTTATTCCATGCGGTCTTTTCATTGTTTCATTTTGAAGTGAATATGGTCTTTGGAGTGTACTCGTTTGATTGGTTCAAACTGGCTGGAATGCAGTAAGTATAAAAAACACAGGTTCGTTTTCCTGCTAGCTTGGTTCTCTAAAACGATCTCTTCTTGAAGAACACTCTGGCCAGGCAAGTCCTCTATTTTTTTAAATAATTTTTGTGCTGTGAATTTCTAGATCCTCCCCTATAGATTTTTCAATATTCAAATTATCGTATCTTCATTAAGTTTTTACTGATAAACCTTATCTCATCTTTTTTTTTTTTGAAATATAAATATTATATTTTAAATTTTTTTTATCTAATTGTTGGCTTCCATTTTGTGTGAATTACTTTGCTTATTGGTTAGTGCCACGTTTTGTTATAATTGGTAAGTCAAGACAAGACAAGACAGATTTTTAGTTTTAAATAGGTACTGCTGCTCTGGCTTTCAGAATCAATCTTTAGTGTGGGAAAACTGGACCATTTGCTCTAAATAGAGTCGGTGAAAACCAAATTTGTGAGTCCATCCCCATTAATCCTTTATTGAATCCAGACAGAGGCCTGAACAGCCATTTTCTGCTTGACTCCCTAAATTATCTTATCTTATCTTATCTTATCTTATCTTATCTTATCCTATCTTATCTTAACTTATCTTATCTTATCTTATCTTATCTTATCTTATCTTATCTTATCTTATCTTATCTTATCTTATCTTATCTTATCTTATCTTATCTTATCTTATCTTATCTTATCTTATCTTATCTTATCTTATCTTATCTTATCTTATCTTATCTTATCTTATCTTATCTTATCTTATCTTATCTTATCTTATCTTATCTTATCTTATCTTATCTTATCTTATCTTATCTTATCTTATCTTATCTTATCTTATCTTATCTTATCTTATCTTATCTTATCTTATCTTATCTTATCTTATCTTATCTTATCTTATCTTATCTTATCTTATCATATCTTATCTTATCTTATCTTATCTTATCTTATCTTAAATAACTTAACTAAAGGGTGTAATTTGCCTGCCAGAGCTGTTTTTCAAGGAAGCAGCATTTTGCTCAATTGTAACGAGCATTCTAATTTAATATTGTTATTATTTTTTTTTTCAATTAATGTTAATTATTTAATTGTTTTTTTTTTATATTAAAATATTAATTTTTTAACTTGCAATAGTTTTTCATACCTGATTCTGTTGAAAGGGAGTGTCTGTACAACAATCATTTTATACCAAATTTCAACTTCAATTTCTTTTGCAAGACACTCACTTTTTGATTTTCAGGAATTTAATGTTCCAAATATTGGTGAACCTGATACTGCCTTATTCTTTTCTGGGTACCTACTCTGCATAAAGATCACTGTCTGGAGTCTGGATCAGCTGGAGTGACGTCACCCCAGCAATCTATCCTCTTCCTGGATACAGGAAACAATACGAAAAGCTCCAGTTCACGAAAGTAAAACCCCAACACCCCTTGAAGAGCTCCGGATTGGAAATCAGGTACTTGGTATCAGATTCGCCAAGAAAAACCAAGTTGTTAGCATTGAAATTACACAGAACATTGTAAAGAAAATTAAATAAAATTATTGTTTGTTGGATTTTTGAGTGGTTTCATTTGCACATAAAGGGACTACACATTATCTTATTTAATTTTTCTTTGAATTCACGACCCTAGGTTATCCCTTCCTTAAAGTATACAAATCTAGTTTATATGTAACAAAGTACAAGTGGGTTTTCAATGGGTCCAGATAATGAGACACTTATGGAGTGGAAGTGAACACAGTGCATCGTGGTCAAAGTCGAAGTAAAAACATAAGAAAACAAAGTTTTAGGGATGGAAATTTCCATTACGAAACAGAAGCAGAGTGCAGAAAATGTGGTTAAAGACCTAGACATGCGTTTACGAATTGCCCAGCGAAAATAGATGTCTGTAATAAGTGTGGCAACATTGGACACTGGCAGGTCAAATGTAGATATAAGAATAAGCCAAATGATCAGTTAGCAAGTGGTGTTCCATAAATGGCGGCTACCATTACAGAGTACCCCACAAACACAGAATCTTGGCAAAACATGAATGGAGAAGAAGTTCCCACGGGAAGTGAGGATGTCGATTATTTTTTCTTGGGTAGTATCACAGAAAAGCCTTCATTGCCATGGCGAACTTCGGTACTTATCAATGGCGTATCTACAGAATTTAAAGTAGAAACTGGTGCGGACGTCACAGTGGTAAGATCAAACTTTTTTCATGAAAAAGAAGTAAAAAAATTGAAAGTTCCTCTCAAACCGTTATTTTCAGCATCCGGCAATATGATGCAGGTTTTGGCTAACTTTGATGCTCAAATACGGTGGCGCAACAATGAAATCTCAACTAAAATTTATGTAGCAAATAATGTGTATGAAAATCTGTTAAGAAGAGGCGCCATTGAAAATTTGGGGATGCTTTCGTGGATCGGGTCTGTTAATTGGATCAAACAATACTCTTCGCTTTTCAAAGGAATTGGAAACCTAGGAAAACAGTATCGTATAAAACTGAAACCAAATACTTCAACTTTTGCAATTTCCACCCCTAGAAGAGTTGCCATTCATTTGAGACAAGCTGTAAAGGACCATCTTGAGGCATTGGAAAAAGCCCAAATAATTTTTAAAGTTACTGAACCTACAGCGTGGTGTGCGCCTATGGTTGTTGTTCCAAAAAAAGATTGTAAAGTCAGAACTTGTGTGGATTACACAATGTTAAATCTAAGTGTTGAAAAGGAGCGTTTAGTTTTTCCAGAAATCAGTGAGGCATTGGAAATGATTGACCCGGGATCGCAGTATTTTTCTAGACTAGATGCAACCTCTGGTTTTTATCATATACCACTAGATAGTGAATCGCAGCTGTTAACTACGTTTATTATAACATTTGGCTGTTACGCTTTTAGTCGTTTGCCAATGGGAATAACGCCAGCAACAGAAAGATTCCAGCGCGAAATGGTCGATATTTTGGAAGGCTTACAAGGAGTTGTCAATGTAGCCGACGATACCCTTATTTGTGGTAGATCCAAAGAAGAGCATGATAGCAGGCTCGGAAAAGTTTTGGAACGATTCCAGGAGTGTGGTCTTAAACTCAACAAAAGCAAATGTGTTTTTGGGGCCCAAGAGCTAATATTCTTAGGCCACGTGGTCTCCAAAGATGGCCTATCAATAGACCCTGAGAAGATTGCAGCCATAAACGGCATGACAAAGCCGACTGATATCAGTGGTGTGAGGAAAATATTGGGTTCTCTCCAGATGCACGCAAAATTTATTCCCAATCTGTCAGACCGTGCTAATCCTTTGAATCAACTTTTAGCTAAAAATTCTGAGTTTTGCTGGAATGAAGTCCACGAACAGGCTTTTCTAAAAATTAAAAAAGCACTTACGACGGCGCCAGTGTTGGCACATTTTGCACCTGGGCGTCCAATTAGAGTAGCAGCTGACGCATCCTCTTATGGTCTAGGTGCAATTTTAGAACAACGGAATGGCGATCAACCTTGGCGTCCAGTATGTTATGCTTCGAGAACGCTATCAGACACTGAAAAGCGATATGCGCAGGTGGAAAAAGAAGCGCTGGCTTCGACGTGGGCATGTGAAAAATTTAGACAGTATTTGATAGGCCAAAATTTTGTCATCTTGACCGATCATAAACCGTTGGTGGAACTTCTTGTTACTAAACCTTTAATTGACCTTCCGGCCAGAATACAGCGTTTCCGTATGAGGTTAATGCAGTTCAGCTATACAGTTGAATATATACCTGGCAAGTTAATGATAGTTCCGGATATGCTATTTAGAGCCCCAATAGAGTCCACAAACAATGAAATGGATGTACTTCTAATTGATGATGTTACGGTTTTTGTGGATTATATTTACCAAAATAGGTAATTTAGAGGAAAGGTTGAAAAAGATTTTAGATGCTCAGGGCAAAGACAAACAAAGTATTAGATTGGTCAATTTCATTTTAAATGGATGGCCCAATAAAGTAACAGACCTCATCAATGAAGACAGAATATTTTACCAATATCGAGGAGAAATGACGATCCAAAATGGTATCATCACAAAGTCAAATAGAATTTACATAATCCCAGGAATGAGAGCAGAAATACTTGAAAAACTTCACGAGGGACGTTTTAGTATAGGCAAATGCAAAAACAGAGCCAAAGAGTCTGTTTGGTGATGTGTGTATAAAATATCGAAGTACGCCTACCGAGCCGCTCATACCTAGTCCCGTTCCAGAATATCCGTTGTCATTGCACAAGCAGCCCAACTTTTGCTCAGTCAAATGGGCAAGCAGAATCTGGAGTCAAAATTGCTAAGAAAATTCTACTTAAAAATAAAGACACAAATTTGGGATTATTAGAATAGAGAACCACAAAACTTGAGTGTGGATATAGTCGTGCTGAATTAATCATGGGCAGAACGCTCAGGTCGTCAGTTCCTCAGCTAAAAAGAAAACTTATACCAAATTGGACCTATATCCAAGATTTTAAAAACAAAAGAGAGATGGAGATAGATAAACAAGCTGAAAATTACAACCGATACCACAGAGTGTTAAATGTCAATCCTTTAAAAGTTAATGACAGAGTATGGATCACCAACCAAAAATGTTTCTGAAAAATTGTTAATATTGGGACAGAACCTGTTACAAATTAAATTAGAATTTGGATACTTTGAGAAAAAGATAACCTAGGGTCGAAATTATTCAAATCCAGAATGTGTCAAAATTCTTGAGATGTTTTAATTAAACCTTTTTTACTGAATGTTTGACCTGTCTGGATTTCTATTAAAAAATTACACCCTTTAGTTGAGATAATAATTTAGGGAATCAAACAGAGAATGGTTGTTCAGGCCTCTGCCTGGATTCAATAAAGAATTAATGGGGATGGACTCACAAATTTGGTTCTCACCGACTCTATTTAGAGCAAATGGTCCAATATTCCCACACTAAAAAATGATTCTGAAAGCCAGAGCAGCAGTACCTATCTAAAACCCAAAAATCTGTCTTGACTTACCTATTAACAAAACGTGGCACTCCAATAAGCAATTCACACAAAAATGGAAGCCAACAATTAGATAAAAAAACCTAAAATATAATATTTATATTTCAAAAGCAGATAAGATAAGATTTATCAGGTAAAAACTTAGTAAAGATATGATAATTTGAATAGTGAATCTATAAAGGAGGATCCAGAAATTCCAAGCACAAAATTATTTTAAAATAAAGAGGACTTGCCTGCCAGAGTCGCTTTTCAAGAAGAAATCGTTTTAGAAACCCCAGCCAGCAGGAAAACGATCCGGTGTTTTTTATACTTACTGCATTCCAACCAGCTTCAACCAATCAGACAAGTACACCCAAAAGACCATATTCACTTCAAAATGAAAACACAATGAAGAACCGCATGGAATAAAACAGAATGGATAAAAATCCACTAAAATTATTTCAATTGTTCACAAATTATAATAATTTAAATTAAGGTTACGTCAAAAATAAAAAACTGTTAATTAATTAGATCATTAAGCCAAAAAATGATTATTTCAGAATCAAAAGTTAGAAAAGGACAGAAATATATCCATTTGCCAAAAGTGAGATAAATATAATTTCTTTCAATGAAAATACAAATGCGTGTCAAATGCGAATTTAAAAATCATACTTTGAAATATAGATCATCGGGCACTAGATGGTAGTACTGAAAAATTAATTCTCGATACTTGCATTTTACGCAAATGTGGATAGATGGCAGCACTTGTATTATTGGAATTTGAATTTGAATTTTGTGGATATTATTTGGCTGATTCTAAAATGGAAAAAATACGACTTCATAATGAAAATAAGAAGAGATGGAACATGTTACGTAAATGATAAATTTATCGTAACAAACCTAGATCATATGTGGTTGTGGCAGATAATAATCAGGCATATCGAAGAAACAGACATCATCTAGTTCTTGCAGAGAAAAAAAAAAAAACGCTCCAGTTAACACAAACATTGTGGTCGATTTGCCTGCAGATATCTTTCATTCAAACCCTTGTCCAAGCCAGAATTTTCCTTCAAGTGAAAAGGAGACAGAGGAAAATAATGGAGAAGGAAGTGCAGAATATGAAGAGACAGAGGAAGGCAACGAAGAAGGAAGCGAAGAAGGGAGTGAAGAAGACAACGAAGACAACGCAGAGAACAAGGCACTGAGACCTCAGCAGTCTATAACACTAAGAGGCAGGCCTAGGGACAAAACCTCTAATGCATGTATGACACGATCTAGAGAGACTACTGCGCGTTTTGGTCGTGTTAGTAGACCTCCGCGGTGTGGCTGTGGAGATGACCCTGTTGGTTGTCAACACACAAAACTGTTTGCACTAGAAGTGTCCGAAATACAACAAAGATAATAATTGTTTTTGATTCTCCTTGGGCCCCAAACAAATAATAAAACCGCTTTATTCCGTCATACTCTTATTAAAGTTCTTGACCTGTTGCCATAAGTGCTCGTCTGCAAAACTTCATTTTTCACGGTAATAACTGTTTCAAGAGAAAAATGCTTATGTGTATTTTGTCACAAAATAGGAGACTGCGATGTAATTCTGACCGACCAGGCTGGGTGTATTTAATTTGGGATGCAACAAAAAAGCAAGCAGCACTTACAGCTGCTCCTGCACATCGCAGCCTACTACAAGGGACTGCGTTACTTTTATATTTAGATGCAGCTAATACAATTCACATATTTCATTTTTCAAATTATTAGAAGAATTCTAAAATCTACCCATTTGCTAGTGCAAGTATCCCTTCAACTCAAAAGCCTAAGCCTTCCATACCGCATTCATCACTGTCACTTAATCGTCTATGAAATGATGGTTCTCCTATTAAAACAATTCATCTAGCTTACGGATTCACGACTAGGAGCAGACACTTGAGTAACGCGATAAAATAAATAATTTTGCTCCTCAAACCGTGTTAACGTTCGCAGTTATAAAATTGCTTTTGTTGTCGGAAGGCGGCAAACTTCCTCTAAAACTTTGTTTGTTCGAGAGAGTGATCCCGCTATAAATTCGCGGAAATAGAGAAAGTTTAATTTCAATTACGTTTATTTTGACAGCGACGGAAAATTACACTTTGGTTTTAATTTTTGGATATAAGAGCGCTTGATGTAATATGGGGATCTACTTCCTTCACATCAAATAACTTTATTTTATTTTTTTGACCAAGCCACGACGGTAGTTTTGAAGCCCCCTTTCTCACCTTTTTCACCTTTAGGATCTTAAGTTACCCGCTTTTATTCTAGTAAAGGTCGTCAGAAAATATTCAGAATATATGCATAAAGCCAGTATAATTTAATAAAAATGCTTGAAATTATTTTTCCTAAGGGTTGTTCAACGTTTTCAAATGCAAATATATATACATTAAATAAATTCAAGGTGGTTTTCTCTTGAGTAATCCCACAAGATTCTTAACAGGCACTGGAAGCCTAATGGTTCCCTTAATGCTAATTTCGACATCAAATTTAATAGAAGCGAGTTAATAAAACCGCAAGATAGGCACCAACATCCTTAACGTTCGCCTTTGCTTGAGTAAATGCTTTGTTTAATTACGAGAGATATTCGAGCTTTTTGTCTCCCATAGTCCCTCAGCCTTATGAGGATCTACATCTCCGGTTTCTCGTTTTTTTTTTACTCAAGCTTTCGACAAGAGCTGAAGGTTTTGTTCCAGAAAATTATTTTTACCACAGAACATGAAAATGTCAAAACAAAAAAGCAGCCACACTTTTTTGTCCATAGATAATTCATTTTTAAATCTTCTTTATTCTATTCTATCGCTTGGAAAGTTTAGGCATTTGAGTCAGCAACGGTAGGAAGGGTAATAAACAGACAAAAGCTTAAAGCTATAGCCTTGCCACAGCCTTGCTGACCTCATGCTCATTTCCACTGTTTTTTCGTTGGCGTCATTTAAAACTTTTATTTTTGTTCGCGACTTTTGCTTTAAAATAATTTCAACGGGTCATAAGGTTTTTAGAATTAAAATGGGTTTTTATTAAAAAAAAAAAACAGCAGACTAATTCATTTATACTTGACATTTATTACAAAGGCCGTTATTAACTCATGAAGCCGCGCTATCCTATTAAAACAATCTATCTAGCTTTTCAAGTTGAGAAGCAGGGAGACACTTATAAGAGCTTATCTGACGTGGGCCGAAACGGGGGCTAACTGGGCTTGGAACCGACTTTATCCAATAGCAGTGCCCACTCGAGTATACTCAGCCAGCACAAGATCACTTATGTATCGAGGAATAATTTCTTTCGTTATCCCAGGTAAGAATTTATAACTTCTACTATGTGTATATTTTTATTTGTCTTTGCTTGGAAAGCTAATGTCAATGGCTTATCGGCGCGCTCTAAGATAAAAATCGCTGATTTCAGTCAACTAAGTTTGGTAATAAATATGTAATTATGCAATATACTTTTCCGCACGATTTTTTTATTGTTAAAAATAAAGATATTTAGGTCCAAATAAATGATGTATCTTTTATTCTATATTATGTGCTATTTTGTACCATTATTATAAAATCTTTGCATATTGAAAACATTTTTTTTTTTGATAAATAAGATGGACAAAAACACTCGTAGGAAAAACATTGTACCTAAATCTTGCGGAAAATGTCTTTTCCACCCTCAACGGCTTACCCAAACTCCGCTCGGCGTCGTTCGTGCAACTGCCGTCTCGTGCGGAAAAGTACCACTTTCCGCACTTGTTAGATTAGATTAGATTAGAGTAATATTGGGGTGTTGTTGCACTGCGACCTAAAGATCTCTTGTGCCCCTGCTGAGGCCGATTTGATGAGGATCTCAAATCATAGTACTTCGTCCAGTCATATGGCCTTGATGAGGGCTAGTAACTGGTACGGTGTCAAGGATGGTATGTCTCCTAAAACTACATAGTCACCGAGATGTGTAGCCCGGCTTCTAGCGACGGCTTCGCATACGGTTAGTAGGTGTTCTGGGGTCGAATTTTCGAATTCATTCGAATACATTTCGTATACGAAATTTGATTGACAGCAATGTAAATTAAATGGGAAGTATTCGAAATCGAATCAAATTTCGTATGCGAGAATATTCGAAAATACGACCCCTGGAGTTTCTTCCTCCTCCCCGCAAAACCTGCATTCACTGGATCTCTCGAGTAGCATTTTCCTGCGGTGTTCTCGAAGGTGGCAGTGCCCTGTCATAAACCCTGTAAGAATTCTTAGTTTAGTTTTACTTAAATTTATTAGAGTTTTAGATTTTTTGGGATTGAAGTTTCCAAGGAATATCTTGTCTCAGTCCCGGAAGGTCGTCCCAGAGGCGAGCTCTTAGGTCGTCTTCCATTTTCTTAAGCTCCGCTGTATAAGTGTTTTTACCTATACCGCAAAAAGGCTCCGGTCCTACAAACTGGGAAACGGATCCTTTCTTTGCCAAGGTATTGGCTTCTTCGTTACCTTCCACTCCTGTGTGTCCAGGCACCCATAGTAAAGTGACTTTATTTTTCTTTCCTACCTCACTACCTTAGAACTGATGACATATGAACTCAGTGCCATTATGGCCGATTGACTGTCGGTGAATATTGCAATATCTTGCTTGAGATAGTTCCTGTTCAGGATTATTTGAGCACATCTGTCAATGGCGTGTATTTCCGCCTGAAAGACACTGGTGTATTTACCCAGTGACTCAAAATATTTGGTGCCCAAATACTCCAGCTCTTAATCCTTTGTCGGTTTTCGAACCGTCTGTGTACCATTTATTGGTGTTTTCTTTGAGAGATTCGGTGATCTTGCCGCTTTCCCAGTCGCTTTTATTATCAATCCTTGTGAGGAAGTTTCTCTCAAAGTGATATTCTTTGGTTATATCGTCTTTAGGAATATCGAATAAGGGAATACACCGTGTCTGGGATGACCATGCTCCTTGATCGATGATGTCCTTAGCCTCGGACCTATTCCTAGCTAGTCTAAACATAGCCCTTTCTGCAGCTCCCTTCACCGACAAGTGCAAAGATGTGAGGTCAAGTATGACGTTCAACGCTGCTGTTGGACATGTTCTCATGGCTCCTGTAAAACATACACTTGCCAGTCTTTGCAATTTATCAAGTGCTCGCCTTGTAGTGCTTTGTTCTGCTATGCCATACCAAACTGCTGCCCCATATGTGATTATGGGTTTTACCATCATAATGTACATCCACCGCAGTATTTTTGATGTACATCCCCAGTTTTTACCCACCAAGTTTCTGCACACCATAATGGCTTTAGTAGCTTTGTTAACAATGGCTTCCAGGTGTTTTTTCCATAAAAGTTTACTATCCAGTGTTACGCCCAGATATTTGACTTCGTTTGCTTGATTCACAACCTCTCCACTTAGGTGAATTTCCCTAGTAAGTTGAATTTTCCTTCTACGTGTAAATGGTACAATAGTGGTTTTTGCTGAGTTGATGCTCAGTCCCACCGATGTGCACCATTTTTCGGTAGTACTTAGGCCTTTTTGTATGAGGTCGTATAGTGTGCCCTCAAACTTGCCTTTGGCAATAATGACAATATCATCGGCGTAACCTATACAAGTTAGACCCTGATTTGTCAGTCTGGAGAGGAGTTCATCAACTACCAGGCTCCACAACAGGGGTGAGGTTACTCCCCCTTGAGGTGTACCACGAGTGGTTCTGATGCTTGTGGTTTGTTTACCCACAGTTGTCTCAGCTGTTCTCGTAGTCAGCATTTCACAGACCCACCGGACTATGGTTTTATTCACTCCTTTCCTCTCCAGAGCCAATTTTACTTTTTTCATTAAATTTTTTAAATTTTTAACATAAATCAGTCGCAATCGTACATAAAATCATGTATATAACGCTTACATAAACAGGCTTTATTGACTCATTATTTAATAGCCTCGCTCGCAAGCTCGCTCGGCCATAAAATTATTCGTACAATAAAGCCTTACTTTATGTACTTGTTATATAAATAGCTATTATGTTACATTCCAACATAGTGGAAATGCTCGTGGAAATGGAATGAGTGATGGTTTTTATTCGCCCTTGTTTGACATTCACATGAAGTGTGATTTGTGTACCAAATAAGACCAAAATTCCTAAAAATATACCTTCATTTATAGCATAGGCATTAGTGCAGTAGAAGCTTCTGAATTCATGCCATCACCACTTTATCCTCAGAGACTTTGCTGGGTGTGAAATTAGTGAATTTTATTTGCAGTATTATAAACTTTTTATTGTTTTTTTTTCAATACGTTTTGTTGTGTTTAAGGCTGTTCTAATAAAGAAGGAAATGGTAATGAAATGTTGTTGTTTTATTTCAAAAAAAATTACAGATAATAATAAAATAAAATCGATTAGGGACAAATTATTTGAAAAAAGGCGGGAAA